CTAAGACTGTTACTTCTGCTGGAAATCTGTGAAACTACGAGGGGCTTTCAAGTCAAACTAGGGCTTTTCATTTTACAGGTATAAAAAGGGATTTTTGCGTGGTGGTACTACACGCAATAGTAAGTGGCAAGTGTGTCCTATTACTGTTAGACGGCGCACATGTCGCAGGCCATGCCACCGTTAATCAAGATGGCAGACAACAGTGTGTGCATGGAACAGCGTGTGGTGATGAAGTGAACGAAGGCGTAAAACCTGCAGAGATCTATAGAAGACTTCAAGCACAGTACGGTGATGAAACGCTCAGCTGCAGTAAGACATTTGGATGATGTAAATGTTTCAAAGATGGTCGTACGTCCCTCAGTGACCATTCCGGCTGTGGTGGTCCCAGCCCACAGCAGTCATTCCTGTGAACATTCAGTGCACGGAACGCCTGATCCTGAATAATCAACACATAACCTGTCCTGAAAGATACAAATCTTTCTGTGGGAATGTTGCATACAATGATGACAAAGTGAAGCAGGCTGTCCTAGGATGGTTCAGGCATACTGACAAATCTTTCTATGCCAAAAGCTTTCCAGGTATTAGTTAAATGCTGGGATAAGTGTATAAATGTAGCAGGGGAGAATGTCGAAAAATAAATGCAGTTTCCACTCCTTGAAATTTGTTATTTTATTATATAAACTCAAAAGCCCCGGATTGACTTGAATGCCTCTCGTATATATCAAAAGGCATCTGAATTGTAATAATGTAATTCAGAAATTGAACAAACTCATTAAATGTATTGAATTAAACATTTCCTGAGAAAAATATGGGGCTGCCCTTGCTGATCTGCTTATAACAATGCTACTTGCCTGGCTGTTATCCTGAGCCCTTGCTTCAATAATTTTTGTCACTGATCTGGAACAAGACTTCATCTCAGAAGTAAAGTCAGAAGTCCTTATCTGTATAGTTGTTCTGTGTCAGTGAGTCAGCATGGCAGCATGATTATTCCTATCTAAAAAAGTCTCTTTTACGGCTTCATGCGAGTGGTCATGAGCGGGCATACAGAATACATTTGGGCATACATTCTACTCGGGAGTCACAGGTGCGATGTACAACCCTCTGCTTGCAGGCTGTCAAAATCAATGACAGACTAGAATATGCTGCAACTGTACACTGATATATGCACATCCGACCAAAACTAGAGTACATCGACGTATGCTCTGTCCTGACCACAGACTGTCTGGCAGCTCACCATTGACCTGATATCAAAAGTAAATTTTAGGTCCCCTGGCCCCCCTTGAAGCTGCTGTTACAAAAATCACCACTTTACCTCCCCATATGCCCAAAATACGTACCTCTGTACTGGAGCAGACCCCTCCAGTGCCCAAGCAACTACTGCCTTAAGGATCATCCACACCAGTGGCCTCCAAGCTGCCACCCTGGGGCCAGTTGCAGCCCTTTGTTTTCCTTTATCTGGCCCTTGAGGCAATATTCCAGCCACTGACATCAACAATAGGGCAATATTACTTCCACTGACACCAATGATGGGGCATAATTCCTTCCAATGACACCAACAATGGGGCACATTTCCTCCCACTGGCACCAGCTATTTCTCCCCTAATACTAGTTTAATCCCACTGGGCACAGCTACCCCTCCTAAAGTCTGAAGGACAGTAAACTGGCCCTTTCTTTGGGAAGTTTGCCAACCCCTGATCTACATTATCTCCATTGAGCTGCTTTGATCTGCAGAGATCAGAGTTCAAAGCAAGAATACATAGAAAAGACTTGTTGTCTATGTGCCCTGTTCACACTGCAATGCTGGTGCACCTGTCACACACACAGGCGCATTGGCTGAGGAGTTTTGTTAGGTGGGTGGAACCTGGTAGGGAACTCTGAGAGACTAGGTCCCCATCAGGTCCACCTCCCTAGAAAAACAGTGGATGGTAGTGATTCCATAGTTGCTAGTATGCTGTGTAATTGTTAAACACAAAGGAGGTGGACTTGAGAGAGAACCAGTCTCCCAGTATCCCTATCAGGTGCCACCCACTATGCAAGTTCAGACCTGTATCATTGGTTGCTAGGATGCTGGCAGCATGTGTCCTAGCAACCAGTGAAGTGACCTGCATCCTAGCAACCGATGCAGCAAATTTGTACATCCCTCTCTGGCCTGTCCCTGTATGCCTACTTAATTGCATCCAGCTTTGTTAGCTACAAACTGGCAGTCATAATGACAAGTGGCACAAATAGGAACTACCTGAATCTTGAGGGGATGAGAGATACCGCACACCACCAGTTCAACAGGTGGAGAGGAATGTGAATGGCCTCAGCTGTAAACTCCTCTTAAGCTGTGCCCCTGATGGCCTGCTCAAGTCCCTGGTGGGTGGGGTGAAATGTGCCAAGGGGTGTGGCTTAGGAGAAGTTCAAGGCTGAGGCCATTCACATTTCTCTCCATTAGTGATGGGCCAAACACCCTCATGTTTGGTTTGCAGTTGAACATTCGAACCTAATGAAAGTTCGACTGCAAACTGAACTTAATGCAAGTCTATGGGACTCAAACTTGTAAATTTAAAAATGCCCATTTTGAATACTTATATGCAAGTTATTGGTCATAAAAAGGGTATGGGGACTCTGGTACTGCCCTGAGGGACGTGAATGAGTGGGGAAAAAAAAAGTTCAAAAAGTACCGTTTTTAAAGGGGCAGTCATTTTTCCTTGCTTAAAGTACAAAAAAAAATCTTGCCTGGGGGGTCAGATTAAACGACAGTATCTGCAAAGTTGCACATCTGTACAATGTATAGACACCTCTGCAGCTGTACTGATGTTTTAAAAACAAAAATGACATTTAAAAAAACATTTAAAAAAACAAAACACGTAGGGTCCCCCCCAGTCCATACCAGGCCTTTTAGGTCTGGTAGGATTGTTAGGAGGGACCCCACAGTAAAAAAGTTTTTTTTAAAAGTATGCGGGGTTCCTCCTAAAAGTCATACCAGGCCTTTTAGGCCTGGTGGGACTTTTAAGGGGAACCCCACCCCCCAAAAAGGGAGGGAAAAAAACGTGGGGTCCCCCCTATATTCCTACCAGACCCTTGATCCGAGCACAGGCCTGGTAGGGCAGGAAAGGGGGGGGCAACGAGCACCCTCCCTGCGGTTTACCAGGCCACATGCCCTCAGAATTGGGACAGTGTCCAAAAGCCCGGTGGTTGTGGGGGTCTGCAGGCGGGGGGGCCCATTAGCATCAGGATACCCCTTTGAATAAGGGGGCACACTGATGCTGCCCTCCACCCCCTTGTGAATGAAGGGGTACTTGTACCCCTACCCATTCACTAAAGGGTTAAATTTAGTAAAAAAAAAAAAGAGACCAGTCTTTTGAAAAAATTCTTTATGAACAAAAAACACAACTCCGACCTGTCCGCCCCCGCCGAGCATTCGCAGCAATCTGACAGTTGCCAGTCAGATATAAACAATTGGGCAGAGACAGCGGTGACGCCACTGCTAGCTCTGCCCAATTGTGCTGTGATTGGCCAAAGTCAGGTGCATTGCTTTGGCCAATCACAATGCACTGTGAAAGCGCAGTGCATTATGGGGCGGGGCGGGTGAACAGCCTGCCGGACGCCCTTACCGGTCGTGTGTTTCGCCAAATATCCAGATCATCAGTACTCTCCGTCTGCTGAGCTGGTGGTGTTCGGTGTCTCTCATCCCCTGCATTCTGGATCAAGCATAAGACAGCATGCACCCTTGCATTGCTGGGAGACACCAGATTTGTTCCCAGCAGAGCACCTTGAGCGGCACTAGAAGTGGTTACAAACTATCTGAATCTGTTGTATGCATCAAAACCAGCGAGGAAGCTGTCGCAAGGCTTCCATGAATTATGTGCAGCATTTGCTATGGACCAATGGTGCCAAAAAAGTGTTGTAAACACTTTACTGAATTGTCCTCGGTTTTATTGGCGATGGCTGTAGCATTTTGGGAATGCAGTGTCACAAACTAAGGATTTGAATACATGTGATGAATAAATAGAAAACAGTTTCAAATAACGTTTGCACCATTGTTTGGAAATAATCCTTTGATTGTAAGAAGACATGCGTCTAAATCTCCTTTTCCTCTGAAGCCTGATCTGCATTTGGATTGTGCTTCAGAGGCTACTAACAGGCAGCGAGGAAGCTATGTGACACCTCTTCACCGCCTGTTTTAACCCCATTTTTGCCAACAAATGTGCCAAAACATTGCTTTGTGGCAATTTCTCATTGGTTTTGTATGTGTAGCATTCGGGGATTACCACCCACCAAACACTGCAGTTTGGGTGAACTTTGCCTCAGGCGCAACTTGAAGCATCGCAAGTAAATACCCCCCGTCCACAGCCTATTGCAGCTTAAGAGGTGGCGGTTGGCAGACAGCAAAAACACGGCTCAGCTGTGAATTTTTGCTGCCCCCTCCCCCCAACAATGGTGTCCATTTATGACACAGAGAATAGCTGCGATTCAACGGATCTCAGCTATTCTCTAGTCATTCACAGTTTATGACACTCAGGAGATCATGTCAGCCCTTCGCTGGAGATCTGTGTTCTCCCTCCAGATTCTCCAGCTCAGAGCTGGAGAATCAGAGGGACCGCAAACTAAGCAGAGATAATTTACCTCTGCTTAGTAAACTGATCTTTTACTGTACTCTCACAAGATTATAGTAAAATGAGCCGTTTTCCAGAGTTTATAGACCGTTCTCCAGCGTTTGGAGACCGTTCTCCCTTCGTTCGGAGAACTGCTTCATAAACTGCATTCACAGGAGAACTGTGTTCTCCGAGAATGCCGGAGAACTGAGCAGCGATCTATTACCGCTGGTTCATAAACGGACACCATAGAGTCTACTCAAAGCCTAAAGGTAATAAGCAATGGGATAAATGGTATGAATGAAATACAGTATGTAAGCCTAGGGCAGTGATTCTCAACTGTTTACCCCAGAGGAACCCTTGGAATAATTTTCAGATCTCAGGTAACCCTTGCAATAGCTAAATAATTGGTGGTCGGTAGAAAAATGTCCCTTACATTGGTGACTAGTTGTAAGAATGTCTCTTACATTGGTGTTCATTAGGAAAATGTTCCTTATATTGGTGACTAGTTGTAAGAATGTCTCTTACATTGGTGTTCATTGGGAAAATGTCCCTTATATTGGTGGTTAGTGGGAAGATTATCTCTTACATTGGTGATCAGTGGAAAAAATGCTCCGTACATTAGTGGTCAGTAGAAAAATGTCCCTTACACTGGTGGCTAGTGGAAAGAATGTCCCTTACATTGGTGTTTATTGAAAAGTGTCCCCTTACATTAAGGGTCAGTGGGAGAATGTCCTTTACATTGGTGTTCATTGGTAAAATGTCCCTTATATTGGTGGTAAGTACAAAAATGTCCCTTACAATGGTGCTTAGTGAGAAGAATGTCCCTTACATTGGTGGTCAGTTGTCCCTTTTATTGATAATCAGTGGGAAAATGTCTCTTAAATTAGTGACCAATTGGAAGAATGTGTTCCTAGCATTGGTGCTCAGTGGGAAAATGTCCTTTACATTGGTGGATACTGGAAAGAAAGTCCCTTATATTGGTGCTTAGTGGGAAAGTGTCCTTACATTGGTGGATAGTGGAAAGAATGCCCCTTTTATTGATGACCAGTGGGAAAATGTCCCTTAAATTGGTGACAAATTGGAAGAGTGCTCAGTCAAAAGAATGTCCTTTACATTAGTGTTTAGTTGGTAAAAGTTCCTTAGTCCGCTGGCTAGTGGGAAAGATTTCCCTTACAATAGTAGGTAGTGGTAAGAATGCCCCCCTTACAGTGGTGGTCAGTGGGAGGCATGTCTCTTATGGTGGTGGGAGGAGGGAAAAATGTCCCTTATACAGGTGGTCAGTGGAAAGAATGTCCCTTACATTGGTTTATAGTGGGTAAAGGTCCATTACATTGGTGATTAGTGGGAAAACGTTGGTCAGGACGCCACCTTTACCGACAGCTAAAAAGATCATTGGGCTCATGCAACCAACTTTGCCAAGTAGCATTGACAGGGCTGCTATTGGAAACCATGGGGCCCCATACAGCCAACCTGCCAAAAAAATCCCACAGTTTACTATGCTTCAGGTATGAATGAACACCGTGAGTGATCAGTACTGATCATCATGTTCATTCAGTAAAGGAAGGGGCTGGCAAATGTGACATATTTACCGGACCCTTCTCTCACTCTCTATCCTGAAGGATCCTATTGTGTGCTTGCAGCTGCCATTGGGAAGGAGAAGAGGGAAGTTGTCAGCACTGTGGGGGTTGGGGTACATAGGGGGGCCTGGGCAGCAGGGGGAAACTGATGGTACATAGGGAAGGTGATGGGTGCAGCGGGGGAAATGGGGGGGGGGGGCAATTACTGGAACTGATCCCCTTTTATGGCTCTCTCTGCAGCAGCTGAAAGCCAGTAGGTGGGAGAGGAAAAGAAGGCAGCTTTCAGCTGTTGCAGAGAGAGCCAAACAAGGTATTGATTCCACTAACTGCCACCCCCCACCATGCCGATCACCCTCAATGCCCATATCCACTTTACCCAGATGCCTGGACCCCCTTGCTGGCCTGGGCCCCGTATAGGAGGACTGGTGGTATCCCTTTATCCATGGCCCTGAGCATTGACCCCAGAACTATGCAGGCACTCTTGAATAAGGGGGGTCACCCTTATTGAGCTGCAGATCAAGAAACCCCTAGCAACCACCGGGGGAGCCCCAAGGTTTCATGGATTCCTGGTTGAAAGTAGAACATGCTGCATTTTTTCAGCACAGAATTGTACTGGAAAGCTGTAAAACGCATCACAAATGCACCAGAACACACCAAAAAAGCACTGGAACGCACATGTCCCTATTTCAACTGACGAAAAAGACAAGGGAAAAAATGAACTGGAATGCATAAAAAACACACTGGAACGTGTAAAAAACGCATATAAAAAACGCACAAGCGGAACCGCGTCCAGAATGCATCTGGACTGTGTTTCTATAGTGTGAACCGGCCCTGATCCAGTAGGTACTTGTAGAGATTGATACCCATTACCTAACCTAGGTTCACATCTATGCAGGTTGCGTTTGAGCCATTTCTGCATTGCGTGTTGCGTTGCGTTTTTGCAGCGGTTTTTATGCATTTAGTGGGGGTTTTTTTAATTTTTTTTTAATTCTTGTTGCTAGGCAGATTTAAAATGCAAAACACAGCAAAAACACAGCAAAAACTCACTACATGCTTTTCGTCAGCTTTTCTATTGAAGTCTATAGAACCAAAAACGCAACTTGTTACATTCAAAAAAGTCCCTGACCCTTTCCAAAAAACGCACCAAGTGAGACCGCACAGGTGTGAACATGTCCCATAGGAGATCATGTTAAATGGACTGTACTGTGTTTCTGCAAAACGCAAAACACTGCAGAAAATGCTTAGGTGTGAACCTAGGGTTAATGTGTGAAAGAAAACCTGTCCTGGATGAAAATTAAATTGTCCCTAAGAAACAAATGTTGGTAATAATGATTACCTTGTGTCCCTCCACATAGATAATTGGTCACGGTGACACATCCCTGCTACTTTTACCTGGCGCCACCTGTGAAAGTGTATAATCATGATAGGAGGGGGAGTAGTCTCCTGCAGTAATGAGTCAGCTCCTGGGTGAGGATGCTGGTTGAACAGTTGGCAGCTGCCATCCATATTTTGTTCCATTCTGGGAGATGTAGGATTTTTCCTGGATCTATTTCCCATTTTATCAGCTGTGGAAGCTTATTAGAATTAGGAGAGATTAAAGTGTAATAAAGTTTTGAGCAGGGGAGGACTGACAACTCATGGGGCCCCCGGGCAATAGGGGATCATGGGGCCCCTGTGTCCTTGCCCAAACTCAAAAAAGCCTATGAAAAAGATACCAGGGGCATCTCATGGGGCCCCCTACTGAGCCTAAGCCCTGGGGCAGTGCCCGAGTTTCCAAATGGTCAGTCCGCCCCTGGTTTTGAGTGAACTCCTTACTTCACAGGAGCCCAAATGTCTCAAGTGAGTGAAGCTGCAACAAATAAAGAAAGTGGGGGCGTCACAGTGGGGGGGATTTACTAAAAGTGGAGCACTCAGAATCTGGTGAAGCTGTGCATGGTAGCCAATCAGATTCTAGCTTCAGCTTGTTCAGTTAAGCTTTGACCATAAAAACGTGGAAGCTGATTGGTTTCTATGCAGAGCTGCACCAGAGTTTTAACTCTCCAGTTTTAGTAAATCTCACCCAATGTCATGTCATAATCCTATTACCATCATATTAATTCCTTCCGTACGTATATATATGCGGCCACTCAGCATGTGGGCCCTTCCAGCTCCCGGCACACTTACCGGTGACTATCGGAATGCTCCCAATCGCTACTTGCGATCAGGAGCTTCACGATCATGTGACACCCGGCGCCAAGGGGTCAATATCTTACAAACAAGTTAATTTTTTTTTAATACTATCTAATGACAGGTTCTGTTTAACTATTTGCTGCCAGAGCCTTTTTTCTGAAAGCAAAGACCCTAGAGAATACAATGGTGGTCATTTCCATTCTTTATGTCACACGATATTAGCATACACGTGTATCGAATGTAGTTTTTCTGGAAAAAAAAACAAACTAAGGCTTCTTTCACATTAGCGTGTCTCCAAAGTTCCGCGATTTCCAGCGCAACTTTTTTTTTTTTTAAATCTGTTTATTGAGAATATTTAGCAGATTGCAAACATTACACATATAAAAACCAACAGAAAAAAAGAAAAGAAAAGAAAAAACAACAAAACAACTGTGGTTCACATACTGTACATCATACCCTCGCAGGGGCAGAGAATGTAGAGGCGTATAACCAAAGAAAGTACAAGCAGAAGGGTTACATAGAAAAGCTATCCGAGATGCGCAGGTGGTCACCTGAGGGATATATGGGGGGGTGTGTAATGTGCTGCCCTAATATAGGATATTTGATGTAGGTTGTCCCCTGGACCGGAAGGATATATAGGGACTCCTCGGAGTTGCAATAAGCTACTCAGGTTGTTGACATGTCAGAGGCAGTGGAAGGTTCGGCTAGCCATTTGGACCATACTGTGTCATATTTTTTGGGGCAGCCTCTGTGTATGTTGGTATCTTTATAAAGTGGCAAATTATCATTGATTATCTGCTTCCAGAATGTAAGAGACGGAGGAGCAGTTTTTTTTCCAGTGCAATGTTATGGCCTTTCTAACATAAAACAAAAGCAGGCTAATCATAGTGCGTTCTGCTATAGCGGGTAGGAGATTACTGGATATTGTGCGTACTCTCCAGCGCTTCAGGAAATGAATAGCCAAAGGAAAGCCAAGGGGATCAGGACAGAGGTGACCAAAAGATGATGCTTCAGGGGTGCAGCCCTCCTCAGACGGGGAGATCAACAACTAGAAAAAGAGCAGACAGGTGGCGCACAAACCTAGTGCATTATCCAAGATTTATTCAAAGGTATAAAAGACAAAAACATACTCACAGACAAAGCATGTATAAAAAGCCTTTGCATAATGAAGATGGCCACAACATCTTCAGAATTTTCTTTTGTTTCCAGGTCACAGCTTTATATTTATTGCATTATTCTCCCATCATTGATTCGAAATTTGTTTGTTTTTCAAAAAATTTTCAACATGCCCAATCACCCAAATTCGATGGTCACATGAAAATTGGCCGTTTCTGTGGCCCACTAATGGTGCGAAATTCAAATGAAAATACTTATAAAAGATTTTTGAAAGAAAATTCTTTAGGAATTCAATCCGTGTATGTTTAGTTTATGCTAAGAGTCAATGTTTGCAGTGTTGACCTTTCTTTTTCAAGACCTGTGCAATTTGCCTTGATATGCTGTCAATCAACTTCTGGGCCACATCCTGACTGATGGCAGCCCATTCTTGCAAAATAAATGCTTGGAGCTTGTCAGAATTTGTGGGGGTTTTTTGATCACTTGCCTCTTGTGGATTGACCACAAGTTCTCAATAGGTTTAAGATCAGGGGAGTTTCCTGGCCATGGACCCAACATTTCAATGTTTTGTTCCCCAAGCCACTTAGATACCACTTTTGTCAAGGTGCTCAATCAGGCTGGAAAAGGCAAGGTTTGTCACCAAACTGTTCTTGGATGGTTGGAAGAAGTTGCTCTCGGAGGATGTTTTTGGACCATTCTTCATTCATGGCTGTGTTCTTAGGTAGAATTGTGAGTGAGCCAACTGCCTTGGCTGAGAAGCAGCCCCACACATGAATGGTCTCAGGATGCTTTACTGTTGGCATGGCACAGGACTGATGGTAGCGCTCACCTTTTTTTCTCTGGGCAAGCTTTTTTCTGGATGCCCCAATTGGAAAGGGGATTCATGAGAGAAAATGACTTTCCCCCAGTCCTCAGCAGTCCAATCCCTGTACCTTTTGCAGAATATCAGTCTGTCTGTGATGCTTTTCCTGGAGAGAAGTGGCTTCTTTGCTGCCCTTCTTGACACCAGGCCATCCTCCAAGTCTTCTCCTCACTGTGCATGCAGATGATCTCACACCTGCCTGCTGCCATTCCTGCGCAAGCTCTGCACTGGTGGTGCCCCAATCCCACAGCTGAATCAACTTTAGGAGACGTCCTGGCGCTTGCTAGACTTTCTTGGGCACCCCGAAGTCTTCTTCACAACAGTTCAACCAGTTCTTGGTGATCCGATCAATGGTTGATTTAGGTGCAATCTTAGTAGCAGCAATATCCTTGTCTGTGAATCCCTTTTTGTGCAAAGTAATGATGACTGCACGTTTCCTTGCAGGTAACCATAGTTAACAGAGGAAGAGCAATGATTTTAAGCACCACCCTCCTTTTGTCTGTGACTCACAGGTGTCAAACTGGTGGCCCTCCAGCTGTTGCCAAACTACAAGTCCCATGAGGCATTACAAGATTGACAGTTACAAGCATAACTCGCAAAGGTAGAGGCATAATGGGACTTGTAGTT